CCAGCTCTGTCCTGGCCTCCCCTCCCTTCCACCTGCAGCCCATGCACAGGAGCCCTGAGAGGAAGAGCTGCTGGCGGGGAGAGGTCCAGGCAGCCCTGCTCAGACAGGATGAGGCACAGAGCAACTGACAAAGCTGGCCCCACCAGCAGAGGGTCCCAGTCCACGAGAAAGATGTCACCATGTGCATGTTCAAGGTCCACCTTTGTATAGATAGAACTGCGCACAAGGTCTGGTTCTGCAGGCTATACGGTCTTGGCGAGTTCTTAGCATCTTTGAACTCTACCTTCCTATTTATAGCCTGGATGATAATAGTGCCAGTCTATGGGACTTTGGGGAAAAGTACAGGTGATAATATATGCCAAGCACTTTGCCCAGTCCCTGGCACACAATAATAAGAATGATGGTGATCTGCCAATTCTTACAAGCCAAATAGGGCCATAAATGGGAGTTACTGTGGATTTTACAATCATTAGCATCATTATCGTTACCATTGTCATGTTGGGGTTTGCCCAGAAAAAAAGCTCAGGACTCTACTGGTGGAGCGGGAGCCAGCCCATGTGGTTCTCCCAGCACAGGATGAGAACCTGCAGCCTGGAGCACGTGAAGGTGCATGAAGCAGAGCCGCTCCCTGTTTCAATGTTCACCAAAGAAAGATTCAAACGATACCATCCTCATTAGAGGGTTAGTACGTGCCCCCTGGATGGAGGGCCGTTCCCAGGTAGCAGTACCTAAGGAGAGATGTCTGCATTTCCCTGGGAAACCAGAAAAAGCAAAGTCCTTCCTAGAAAGGAGCTCTCTTGCTTTATAGATGGAGAGCAGCTCTCCTCTGGGTGCAGGAGGCTCCTGCATGACAGGTAACAAAGAGATAAGCACAACCCTGTTTCTTGTCTGGCTGTCACACCAAATAGGTGGGGGTGAGACACTGCTCCATTCCTCCTTGACTTCCTGAGATGAAGACAGAGGAAAAGCCCTTCAGAACAAGACACAGAGGGACAGGGGGACAGAAACAAACCCATCAAGGTGTGCACCGCTTCACCTAGGGCCTTCTGACATGGGAGGAGCGTGACATTTTTTAACTAACGGAGGAGGCCAACTTCTCTCCAGCAGGAAATGGTTAAAAGTACCTTGGAGTGCATTTTCTCGTTGGTGGTTACTACTGCTGCTGTTTTATTTAATTGGGAAGGGACAGAGAGTAATTAGAGGCGAAGTTTTCAGATGCAGAATGCCTTAATATTTATTGGCTTTCCACTCTGAGGCAGGCACTGTGGGAGGCCCTTCCACATTTATTATTTCACTTTATTCATCATAACAGCTCCACCTGGTAGGTATAGGTACTACTTTTGTGAAACGAGGACACTGAGGCTCAGATAGAACCAGAAGGCTTAGGGACCAGCATTGAGATTGACAGAGACCTGTCCAGGGTCACAAGTCAAGAAATGAGATTGACATGGATCCTAAAGATCTAGACCATTCTTGAACCCCTCTGCTATCTCTCCACCTGTGCGTTCAACACAGGAAACTGGGCCCCTTGTGATTGGGCATGCATTTTGTCTTATGGAATAAAGTTCCACACTGGGGTGCAGAGCAGGGCATGGGCTCCAGGCAAGTTTGTCCTTGGAGTGACAGCCAGACTTCTTCATATAGTTCAAAGGCTGATTCCTCTAAACATTCAAGCTAGTCTCAGATATTGGGGGAGAAATTCAAAGATTTAGAATAAAAAATAATAATAAAAGCAATACCCCAGGCCACTGGAATATGAGCGGAGTCTGTTATGAATTACAATTGGGCCTTCCTTGTGTGGCAGAGAATCCTCAACAGTGTCCACATCCTTTCTGAAATTTATTTTGTTATAATAACAATGATAAAAAGAAAGAAAGGGGATAAAAGAAAAGAAATAAAAGAAATGGTAGCCAGACCGTTTGGGAAGTCTGGTACTGAGACATGCCAGTACGGTGGAGAGACGCTCTCCTACTAGGAATTAGATTGCTGGACAGATGTGGACATGGAAATCTGGGTTTCCAATCAGATGTGAGCCCCACATGAGTATATCATTCTGCTCCCTGGAATCCCTGTGGGGATGATGAACCACACGCAGATAGATTCAACATGCACACAAAAAAAATCAAATGCTTTCGTTGATGCTGCACCTGCACCCACCACCAGAAAAGAAGAACTCACCTGTATTCTCTACTTTGGTGGGAGGCATCGACATCCCATCAGTCCCTCAAAGTAGACATTTGGGATTTGTCCAAGACTGTCCCTCCTCAGGCCACACTGCTGCTAAGTTCTCCTCTTACAACCTTCAAATATTTCTTTTGTTCTCATGCATGAGCTCCTCCACTTGTCTCCCTGATTGTACTCACTCTCCTTTACTGATCACTGTTTCCAGAGAAATCTTTCTAAAATCCAAATTGGACCTTGACACTCCCTTACCACCTCCAATCGCCAACCAGTAAAAATGATTCCAAATCGCAAGCTCCTTAGCATGGTTTAGAGACCCCCACGATCCCCACAGATGACTGGAATGTGCCTGCCTGTGGAGTAAGTGCTGCCTGGTCAACAAGCATCACCACGATGGTGACTTTTACATGTCAACTTGGTTAGATCACGTGCATTTGTTCTCCAAGGTTGCCAAACCAATTACCATAGGCTGGGTGGCGTTAGCAACCAAAATCTATTTCCTCGAAGTTCTGGAGGTGGGAAGCCTGAGATCGAGGTATGGCAGGCTTGGCTTCTCCTGAGGCCTCTCTCTCTGCTCTCTGTCCACAGGGTCCTCCATCTGTGGACACACACCCTTGGTGTCTCTGTGCATGTCCTATCTCCTCTTCTTAAAGAACACTAGTCAGATTGTACTAGGGCCTCCACAAACATCCTCATTCTAACTCAACCACATCTTTAAGACCTCATCTCCAAATACAGTCACATCCAGAGACATCAGGGCTCAGGGCTTCCATGAACTATCAGTGGGGAAGGGGGAGGGATGATGAAACTCAGTCTACAACAGCCATAGTACCCAGTTTTGTTTTATTTTGCCAAAACACCAGGCTAGATATTGTTAGGAAAGCATTTTGGGGATAAGATTAACATTGGAATCAGTAGATTTTGAGTAAAACAGATGACCCTCCATAACATAAATGGGCCTCACCACTCAGTTGAAGGCCTTTTGAGACACCAGAGGCGGAGAGAATTCCACCTCCAGACTTGAGCTACAACACCATCACTTCCTTGAACACTGCCTTGAGCATGCAGATTCTGGACTTGCCAGCCTCACAATTACATAAGCTAATTCCTTAAAACAAGTCTCTCTCTGTCCACACACACACACACACACACACTAGTTGTGAGGGAACTGGGGAATACAGTCTTTATTCCAGAAATGGTGCGCCCAGAAAAAAAAAAAAGAAAAATCCAGTCGTTTTTCTCTGAGGGCAGAAAGGGGGACTGCAGACGGCACTGCACCACAGTACAGTATTTGTACCAAATGACGGACGCAGACGCGGAGAAGTTCAGAAGTCA